CACTGTGGTTTTCTCTGCTGTGCCTGGCTGGGAACCTCTGCGATTCCAGCTTCAGGGGTGAGCTCTGCTCCATCCTGTCTCGCAGCCGCAGGATTTCTGCTCGTCTCTTTGTCGTCCTGGGTTTCTTGCTGCCCAGAGGAGCACCGAGATCAGCGTTTCCGCTGTGAGTTTTGCAGAGAAACTCTTCTCCATCCACCTCTGCCATTTTGTGTCAATCATTGGACACGCTGGAGATCTGAGCCAGCCAGGACCTGCGCCACCACGTCCCCTGCAGCCACCGGGGAATCGTCCCACCCGACCTGCCCAGCCGGGAGCCAACAGCGCCCCTGCCGACTGGGACTGCAACTGCAGCAAAGGGGAGGCTGTGTCTCTGTAAGGCTGTCACTGGGTTTGGGACTGGGCTGGTTATTGCTATTGTTATTGTTACTTGTTTCATCTTGTTATATATATATATATTAGTAAAAGCTGTTATTCCCTTTTACCCATATTCCTGCCTGAAAGCAGGTGATTTTTTTTTTCAAAGCTATAATAATTTGGAGGGAAAGGGGGGTAATATCCACCACTCCAAGGGGAGTCCCTGCCTTCATTAGCAAATACCTGTCTTTCAAACTGAGACAGTCCACCATTGGCCAGGTGGGAGATCTGAACCAGCCGGGACCCCACACCATAGCGCCCCCTGCAGCCTCGGGGGAATCACCACACCCGCCCTGCCCGGCCAGGAGCAAACAGCGCCCCTGCTGGCTGTGACTGTAACTGCACCAAAGGAGAGGGTGTGGGACTGCCCAGAGGGGACTGGGGCTGGCACTGGGCTGGCACTGGGTTTTTGGTTTGTTTGGTGTTGCTGCCGTTGGTGTTGTGTGTTTACCCTGTCCCACATTCTGGTAAAGGACTGTGATTGCTGTTCCCGTCTCTTTGCCTGACAGCCCCGAGATTTCAAAGTTATAATAATTCAGAGGGAAGGGGGGCTATATTCACCACTCCAAGGGCAGTCCCCCCTTCCTTGCCTGACACCTGTCTTTCAAACCAAGACACCAAATGAACATCTGAGGGTGAAGCACCAGAGCCGGGCCTGGCCCTCGATCTCCTGGCCCTGGGAATGTCCAGTCCCCTCTCAGGCACAGATTCCAGTCCCACAGTCCTGCTGGGAATGAAATGTGTGTGAGGTTCCTCCCTCGGGAAGGGGGTGCTCCCCACGGCTTCTCCTCGAGGCTCAGAGAAAGAGACCTTCCCACCAGGGCTGAGTGGGGAGTGACATCGAGCCCTGCTTAGGAATTGGCTCTTTTTGCTGGTTTTGATCGAATTATTCAATGAAATTGTTTTAATAGAATTATTGGATAGAATATTTTAATAGAATTGCTTTGATAGAATCATTTGATAGAATTGTGTATTGGGACTGACTGAGGTAAAGCTCAAGCCTTTCCATTGCTGTGCTTTTCATGAATGGCTGGATGGGAGCTGATAACAGAGCAGTGTTTTGGCTATTGCCAAGCAGCGCTGTCCCTCTGACATTCCTTCCTCCTCAAAGGGATGGCAGTGGGCAAGATCCTGGGAGGGGACATGACCAGGCCAGCTGACCCAAAACAACCAAAGGGATATTCCATACCATATGGTGTCAGCTCAGATATATAAGCGAGGAGAGAGAGGAGGAAGCGGGGCCATTCATGAGTTTTCAATGTTTGCCTTCCGGAGCCACCACTACGCGTGCTGAAGCCCTGCTTCCCGGGAAGTGCTCGAACAACGCTGCTAATGGCAAGTAGAGATTGATTTCTTTTTTTTCCTTTAGCTTCTGCGCTCTCAAGTCTTTGCTTATTTTTGTGTCTTTGCTGTAATAAAACTGCTTTATCTCACCCTGTTGGCTGTTTGCCCATTTTATTCTCTCCCCTGTCCCAGAGGGAAAGGGAGTGATAAGGAGAATTAGTGGGTACCTGGCATCCGGCCAGGGTCAACCCACAACAAATTGCTCTGCACAATGACTTTGGTGGCCACAGTGGTCATGTTGCCTTGAAAGGCCCATTTTTAATAATGACACAGACACGGTTAAGGGGATAAAAAGTGTTTTACCTCGGTATTTGGGATTCCAGGTGCACAACTCAATGGCAAGACGCACACACATATATAAAGCACGGATACAGGTTTTATAGGTTTCAGGAATTAGCATATCTATCTAGGATTCCCCACTAAGAAACTTCACAAATGCAGTAATGTCCCCCTATTCTAATGAATCTCCYCCCGAATGAGGCCAGAGCCCAGTTTACACAAGATGTTCCAGAGAGAAGRCTTCACYCAAGGCTGGAGCCTCAGCTTTAAGACAGCACAGGGTACACTGACCCCTTCCTGAAGATGTTTGGTCTCTCTGGCCAGCAGAACTCCTCAACTAAAGTGGAATATCAGACTGCAGGAATTCCAAGTATGCACGCTAAGGGTAGAGGGGGATGCATTGAGGGTGCAGAAATACCTAAAAGGGTATATAAAATAGATTAAAGAAAAGACAAAAATCATCAGGCATCAGTTACAGTGGCTGCAGTGGCCTTGTGGCTCTGAGGGTCTTGGTGACCATGGTGACCACAGTGGCCTTGGTGGACACAGTGACCATGGTGACAGTGAGGGTCACAGTGGCCTCAGGGTGGCCATAGCGCCCACAGCTACAATAGTGGCAGTGTGGCCTTGGTAGCCTTCTCATTGTTCTGGTGCTCCTGGTGGCCTTGGTGGCCATCATGGCTGCAGTGTCTGTAGGCGTCATGGTGACCACAGTGACCACGGTGGCCTTGTGGCTCAGAAGATCCCGGTGGCCACTGCCAAGGCTGCTGTGGCCAAGAGGAGCCCTCTGAGCATGGGCGTGTCCCTGGGGCTGCTTCCACCTGAGGGGACAAAGAGGGACGGGAGGGGGCCATGAGGGGTTGAGGGCATTGGGGGCCCACAGGGGTGACAGGGGAGCCATGAGAGGGTCGGGGCTGAACGGGGCCGTGACAGGGTCCCTGTCCCCTGTGCCCAGCCATGGGTGTCCTTGTTCCGCCAACCCCAGTGGGTGTCCCCAGCATGGGGTGTCCCTGCCCTGTGTCTACAGTGGGCGTCCCCATCCCTTTCTGGCCATGGGTGTCCCCAGCACTGGGTGTCTCTGTTTCTTCACCTGGAGTTTGTTTCCCCATCCCCTGTCCCCAGCAGTGTCCCTGTCCTTGTCCCCAGCACTGGGTGTCTCTGTTCCTTCACCTGGCAGTGGGTGTCCCCATCCCCTGTCCCCAGCAATGTCCCTGTTCTTGTCCCCAGCACGGGGTGTCCCTGTCCCCCACCCTCCCTGAGTGTCCCCGCCCCCCCAGGTGTTCCCGTGACGTCACCTCGCAGCCACTCGCAGGTGTAGTTGCTGTGGGTCCCGGTGGAGCGGAGCTGGATCTGTGTCTTGTCCCCATCCTGGGAGGCTTGGGTGACCTCGAAGATCTCATAGGGTGGGGTCAGCACCATCTGCGTTCTGGGATTGAAGGAGAACTTCCTGATGTCCACACCATGGCAGGTGTGCACCTGCAGGAGTGTCCCACTCTCGTATTCTGTGGGGACTGCATCGCTCAAAGACATCCACAGGAACCAACCGAACCGGACTCTCTGGCCACGCTGCGCCTCGAGCCGGGTGTTGTGCCCCACCCTGTACACGTCTCGGCACTGATTGTCCTTCAGCTTGGCCAGGGCATCGGTCAGCAGGAAATGCAGGGTTTTGAAGTGGAAGTTGTCTCGGTATTGCTGTCTAGAGTGTCCAGCCTCGTGCACAGCATCGAGGAACTTTTCGGAAAATGTAGTTGACATCGTGTAGGCCATGATGGCGATGGCCTGGTCTGGGAACAACAGAGGGGACACGGGGGACCCGCGGTTCTGCCACTCAGCTGTAGCCTGAGCCCAGGCCGGGGCGAACAGAGAGTTCTGCTGGAACTCAACACTCTTGAGGACCGGCAACATCGCGGCCATTTTGTCACGGCAGCCCTGGTACCGGTCATCAAAGGCGTTCGGGGCCATGTCCATGGGAACCACCTCGATGGCCACAGTGGCCATGGACATTGCCAGCAGTGCCAAGATGGGAGCCAGGGGTGCCATGGTGGGGAGAGGCCACAGGGATCAGTGTGGGACACTGTGGGACACAGGAAGGTTCTTCTGTGACGGGCTGGGGAGGGGAACTGGGGTCAGACCAGGGGACGGGGACAGCTCTGGCCAGGAAACCTCTGGGGACATCCTGGGGCGCTGACCCCAAACCCTCGGGTCACTCCAGGACCCCACAGTGTCCCCCAGTGCCCTGGAATAACAATCCTGCTCCCACGGTCCCATGTCCCCCACCCCTGGTGTCCACCCACTCCCCGCAGACCCCGGCTCAAATTCTGGGCTCACTCCTTGTCCCCCCTACAGTGTCCCCCATGACCCCAATCCTGTGCCCATGATGCTCTTCCTGAGCCCAACTTGTGTGTCCCCCCTGTGTCCCCCCTGTGCCC